AAAAAAAAAAAATAGTGCTAGCTTGTGATCATCAAAGCCTTGGACAGCTTTCTTTTTATTAGTCAGAAAACTGAAGACCATTCTGAATTCCACTGTTCTGAATGAATAAGCATAATTTCTTACAGCTTTCCTGAAACTGCTGAAATCAGAGTGATTAGTTCTATAACCCAGCTCACACTCCACTTTAAGTATTTCCCATTGCTGGGCACCTCTGGAAGTGATGTCCATGGAAAAGCAAGGAGCCTACTGTGTCATAATGATTTCTCCATGCTTCAGCACATGGCCTTGGCATTAATAATCCATCATGGGATGGTTTGCAATGCACATATAGGCTCTTACAGGACAGCTGCTGGTAAAACACTGTTAAATGTTATATGGCAAAACATCAGTTAAGATGGTTTTTGAACAGACGAAGAAATAGTGCAACATATCATCTCTAGAGAAATTTTTATTCTTCTTTTCTTTCCTGGTTTTTCTTCTCCCCCAGTCATGTTTTAGAGGAACAAATGGGTTAAGGGGCTAGATTTGGTTGGTAACCACCGAAATATATTTCAAAATGCTTTTGATTCAGGAAGTTCTGGGTCTTTTAAAGCAAGGACGTTAACAATCCTCCTGAGAACCTTAAGCTATGATGATTTAAGCATAAGGAAAATGAGACTTTGAAATGATCAGAGGAGTCACCCAGAGGCCTCCCTGCTGAGTGGTTTTCAATTTTCATTTTTCTAAGACAACAAGGAGGATGTTGGATCCATCACCTAAGGGAAACCCTATCATTTGAGTAAAAATTTATGAGACAATAGGAAAAGTCATAATTATCATGGTAGCTAAAACAAAAACAAGAACACTAGAATTTTTAGATTCATAAATTTGTATATGACAAATGCATTCCATTTTAGATAGATTATAATGAGTGCATTTATTGACTGTGGACATAATACATGCTTAGGTACAAATACAGTTATCATTGGTTATTCATGGCCACGAGAGCCAAGTGAAAGGATAGTTATGCACAAATGAAATCCAGAGGGAATGAGGGAGACCTAGATAAATTATTTCTCACTGATTCACTTCCAGGACTTTAGCCATAGATGTGAACAAGGTAATGTTGGTTTATTACAGGGTTACTGAGCCTTTGTAGCCCTACCCACATGAAAATTTAAGTGGCTATCTTTGTAGACTATTGATTACATAGGAGAGTAACAACATTAAGTTATTCTTGTGGTTTATTATTCATTCATCTGAGCATTGATTTAATAAAATATATTAGGCTGATGCTATGTGAAAACAGCAGTGCTTGAGATTATGAACTCTTAAGGACATGGGTCCCATCACTGAGGCATCTATATTTTATCACAGAGATAAAACACTCACACACATTACCTTACCATAAAGAGACGCAAATGCCTTCTTTGGGAAATCTGAAGAGGTAGACTGTTTCCAACAGAACATTTGGAGCACATACATGGAGAATATTCTGCTGTGGAAGCCTAGAAGGTGGGGCAGGAGCCCTGACTATTAGGTCACAGTGTGAGTATGGGGATGACTAGAGGAGACCAAAATATAGGGTGTAGGGGAGTTAGGCCAAAGCATCCAGTGTCAGAAAAGGGATCCCAGGAGACAAAGCCTGGAGGAGAACTGGGGTTAGCTGGGTAGTCTGTTGCTGCGGAGGGATTTAGACTTCAGTAAGATAACGGCAAACGAGTTTTCTTCCCTAGTCAAAATTTTTCTTTGGAAATGATTTTAGAGAAAAGTTATAAAGATAATATAGTTTCCTACTAGCCAGAAATCGGTTCATATTTCTGTGGGTTTTTTAATGTTTTAGTTTTATTTATTTATTTATTTATTTATTTATTTAGTGTGTGTGTGTGTGTGTGTGTGTGTGTGTGTGTGTGTGTGTGTGTGTGTGTGGCGTGTGAGTATAGGTGCCCTCAGAGGCCAGAGACATCAGGTCCCCCTGGAGATGGAGTTATAGGTGGTTGTGATCCACTTGATAAGGGTGCTGGGAATTGAATTTACATCCTTTTCAATAAGCAGTACACATTCCTAATCACCTAGCCATTTCTACATACCCTTTGTATTTTTTTTAACATAATGGTTTTTTTTTTTGTAGTATGCTTGTTGAGGCACATACATTTTTTTAATTTTAATTTTGTTTGTTATTAATCAGAAATTCCAAAGATGTCTTTCTTATTATTTTTTCTTTTTTATTTTATTTTTATCTTTTTATTTTTATTTTTTGGTTTATCTAGACAGGGTTTCTTTGTGTAGACCTGGCTGTCCTGAAACTAACTCTGTACAACAGGCTGGCCTCAAAGTAACAAGAGATCCTCCTGCCTCTGCCTCCTGAATGCTGGAATTAAAGGCGTGTGCTATCACTGCCTAAATTTATTTACCTTTTTAAAAACATAGGTTTTGGTTTTGTTAACCAAATTTGCCAGGTTTTGACCCATTTCAATATCAGTGACCTTAAAGGTTTCCCACAAGATACCTAAACACTCACCTATACATTCACTATATACAATCTTTTTTTCTTTTTTCTTTTGGTTTTCGAGACAGGGTTTCTCTGTATTGTTTTAGAGCCTGTCCTGGAACTAGCTCTATAGACCAGGCTGGCTTCAAACTCACAGCGATCCGCCTGCCCCTGCTTCAAGATCTGACACCCTCACACAGGCATGCAGGGAAAACACCAATGCACATAAAATAATAAATAAATTATTCAAAATTACACAAACTAATGGGTAAATTTGGTAACAACAAAAACTTCCACCTACCTTTTAAGTAGAATGCCCCACTCGCTCACTCTGTCCACATTTTCTGGAGTCTCTACTCCTGCCTTGTCTTCCTTGGCCAATGGCTAAAGCTAAAATTGAGGTTCTATCCCAACTTCCCAACTCCCAGCCATCTTTAAGTCCTTTTACATTCTCTGTTGATCACATTGTGTATGCAACTCTTCCGCCATAGGTGTTCATAACTCACTTGCTTACTGAAGCTCTTGGTCTTAGCTTCATGTAGTTCTAAAGCATCTACATGTGGCCACCAGAACAGTCTTTCAGAAACACGTTTGAATATACTGTTCACATTTGGGTTCTGATGTTACTTGGTATGGAGCATGTACTCCTTTGCAAGGTTTGATGTCCAAGTGTCTAAGTGCTATCTTCCACAAGTTCTTTCCACACTTAAACTTTCATAACACTGAAAATGCTTGAGATTTCTCTTTTGGTGCACATTTGCACATGTCGTTCCTTACACTGAGAACACTTTATCTTTCCCAAATGGATAAGATACCTTCAACTGCACACCTCAGCTTCATTTTACATTCTCCAATGATCATTCACAGCATGGTTTGCTAGTATAATTTATTAAATGATACATTTCTTGGGCCAGTGAGATGGCTCAGCTGGTAAAGGTTCTTGCCACCAAATCTGATGGCCTGAGTTTGAGCCCCAGGACTGGCATGATGGAAGGGGAAAACTGCCTCCCACAGTCTGTTCTCTGACCTTCATATAAGCACCATGGCACAGTGTGAACACACATACATGTGCATGCACACACACAAATATAGACATTTAAAAGTTTTAAAAGCTTAAAAACATAATCTTCTTTCACCACACAAAGGATTTGAGACAGTATAAAATAGATATACCAGGCAATAGGATAAAATAGAGTGAAATAATTAATTCAAAGGGAGAATATAGGGAATTAAAGTAACACCAGATATGAAGATATCTTTAAAACCATTGGGTTCTGTACTCATACATGTATGTACACGATAAATATGTACACTGAAAGTTTTTTTTTTTTAATCAGGGCTTCTTAGCTAATAAGCTCAGAAGGGAACTTGGCTGAGTATGCTTTTCTGTATGTTAGAAATGAAGTACCACTGTTAGTTCCTCAATGAGGGATGGCTTATTGCATTAAAGGAATACTTATAAAAAGGACCGGTAACTTTAGAAATTCCCTTGCTTGTGCTTGCAGTGACCCTTAAATATAACTCCATAATTACTGTAACTTTTTTTTTTTTTTTTAACATTGATTTCCTAAGGGTATGGACCTTATCCTCAGACTGCTTGACATTCCCTAGTGACTCACTGGAAAACCAGATGTTGGTTGTAATGTAGGCCAATGCTATACACAGACACACAATGTGTCTACACTTACAAAGAGAAAAAAGTGTAACCAAATGGATGAGTATTGTAATAATGATATTTGGAAGCTTGCAATTTAGCAGATATATCATGCTAAACACATTGAGAATGTACTTTCTATGACTTCTGGCAAATCTTATGGATACTTCCCTTCTCAAAGGTGAGAAAAATTGAAAGGTTAAATAAGTTTTTCAAGGTATTACAAGTAGATAGAGGCAGAGCCTGGGATAAAGACAGTTACTTAATCCATGTTCTTAACTTTCTGCTGTTGGTTTATGTTTGTTATGGAGTACACTGATTACATTGACTTACATATCCTCATATAAATATTTGTTTATTTGGTTAGTTTTGAGATAGGGTTTCATTCTACTGGCCTAGAACTCTTTATGCAAATTGGGCTGACCTTGAAATCATAGAGGTCTACTTTCCTTGCCTCCTGAGTGCTGGTCATATGTTACATGGATGACCAAATTGATTAATACTTCAATACAACAAAATCATGGTAGTGCAGCCTTTCAACTGATAGGAAAGCCCCAATGGAGACTTTGTCACTGTTTTCTAGTTCTATATATCATATTCCAGAATTGTTTTAAAGGAAAAGGTAAGAGCTATCCTGGAAATGAAATGCTATACTATAAAAAATTGTTTTCTGTAGAAGTATCAGCACATATCCCAATATAAGCCACTTCTTTTTTTTTTTTTTTTAAATTGGGACATTTGACTGATTTTTCCAGTATATTTGATAGGCTATGACTCAGCTTTATTCACTGTGTCCAAGAAAACTCATAGCTAGTTTGTGCTCTAGCCCAGTTTTTTGTTTTTTGTTTTTGTTAACAAGGGGCTGGCTGTTCTTACCTGAAAGTTGCCAAAGCAGCTCCCTCCAGGGAGAGTCACATAGCTCACAAAGGGAGGCCCAGAGGAGGGCATTGACTCATAGACCACCAGGCCTTCACTGGAGAACGTGGCTCTCTGCTGCTGCTTACTTTCCCAAAATTCCTGTAACATTGACACAACATTCACTGCAAAAGACAAGAAATAGCGTCAGTTATAAGGGTGGACATATACTGGCAGGAACCAAATGTTTAAGGCTGGATTCTGCAATGTGGCAGTTGCTATTTAAATGGAGCATGCACACTATGGGGGTTGCTTTCAACTGTGAAGACACTTTAGTTAAGCATATGTAAAGGATGTTAATATATAAAACTTTAACACGTGTGTATTTCCTTTGTAAATTATATTTTATTTATTGTGTGTGTGTGTCAGAGAGAGCGAGAGAGAGAGAGAGAGAGAGAGAGAGAGAGAGAGAGAGAGAGAGAGAATGTGTGTGGGAAGCATGTACATGTGTTGGTACCTGTATAAAGGTCATATGACAACTTTGAGGAGTTGGCTTTCTCTATTATGTGGTTCCCTGAAATCAAATTCAGGTTGTCAAGATAAGTGGCTGAGCCATCTGACTGGACTCTATATACATTTCTTAATAAGTAGGATATAAGTGGTTTTAGTACCCCAATTCTAATAAGGTTGCAGTATATAAAATTTATTTTATAAATTATATTAATATAAAATTTAAAATCTGACCATTCATCTCTGAAATTTTGCTTTAGTAGACTTTTCCAGACCTGTGATTATCTATAGCCCATATCCAATTTCTCATACCCAAACCTGAAAAGAGAAAGCCACATTGTGAAGATGTAAGCAATGTAATATTAATCTGGACTCTCTATTCATATGATTTAAGAGACATTCAGAAAGGAGTAAACTCTTTTCTTATGTTCTCTATACCCCAATCTAAAGGAGAATCAAAGGCAATTGTCAAATAAGCAAGAGCCTGGAAAAAGTCATGAGTGAAACTAATAACATGGAGTCTTTGTAAAGACAAGGTCTGCTAGATGATTTTGGAAAACACAGGAATGGCGAGGGCCATGTGTTTTAGATTAAATGACCTGTGATAGCCTGCAGAGGTTCCAGATCAAATTAGGCTGGTTTGTTTATCCTGTACTGCAAATTGAATTGGGGAAATTAACAAGGATAATAGAATTGTGGAGTCAAAAGTGACCTTATGAGTCATGTCGACTAAGCTCTGCCTGATGCAGGAATTCCTTGCCAGTGCTGCTGCCAGACAGCTGTCAGTCTGTCCTGTACCTGCATTTGCCACCCTTGACACAGCCAGTCTCAATCCCTGATGTTTCTGTGGAATGGTGAGCCGAAATCTGCTTTCCTTTAAGAGTTATGCAAGGAGTCTACCTGCATTTCTAGAGTGTATTTGAAGGCAACATTAGATATCTGTCAGTTTTGCTTGTGGGGCATTTGCTCACTGTCATGTATGACTAGGACAAAAGGTTCCCTTGAAGTATCACAGTCTTTATAGTTGGGACTAGGGAATTGGCCAAGGCTTAAGCATTTAGAGGCAACAGTCCAAGACTTTTGTTGGAAATTCTCTTTTTTCATGTGTGGGCTGGAGGACTGTTCCATAAAGAAAGATGGCTTGAGAAGAAAGTGAAGGGTAACAGAGGGGGTGGAGAAGTAAAGACTAAATGCTACTGGTGTTAGGTTGAGCACCTCAGACCAGCTTTGCACAGCCCAGGCTCCTTTCTTTATAGTGAATTATCTGAAACAATTCATCTGCTTTTCCTTTAAGCCCCTTTGAACAGCTCGCTCACTTGCATCTAAAAAGTGTAGGAATGCAGTGACTGTGGTTTAGCTAAGTGGAAGGTGAAACCCTGAGTTTCTCTCCAGCACTACAATACAGTTTTATATATTCCAAAATGCTGAGCAGTGACCTTTTTCCTGGAAGTGAGGAGTGTCACAGAGTTTGAACTAACAGCAAATGCACTTTACTTCCACACCTTTAAGCTGTTTCCACCTCCTCCTTAGGTCTCTGGTAAATTCATGATATGTCAGGAAAGTTTCCGATTCTCCCGAGGAAACAAGGAGGAACCTAAGAGATTCATAGAAGGTCCCTCACAGAAGGGGAAAGGAACAAAATCTCCTGAGCATATAGGGAATGGGGGGGGGCAGTGAGTTAGGAGAAAGAGGAGAGGAGAACATGTGGGACTAGGAAGATTGAGTTGTCAGGTGATGAATAGATGAGAATGAGAGAGAGAGAGAGAGAGAGAGAGAGAGAGAGAGAGAGAGAGAGAGAGAGAGAGAGAGGAGATACCATAATGGAGGGAGCCATTATAGGTTTGAAGAGAAAACTGACTCTAGAGAAATGTCCAGTATGACCTCAACTAACAATCTGAGCAACAGTGGAGAGACTACCTTAAATGTCTTTTCCTGATGATGAGATTGATAACTAACTTATATGCCATCATAGAGCCCTCATCTAGTAGCTGAGGAAAACAGAAGCAGACATCCACAGCTAAACACGGAGCCAAACTCCTGGAATCCAGTTGCTGATAGAGAGGAGTGATAAGAAAATGGGCTCAGAACCAGGCTACAGAAACCCACAGAGACAGCTGACCTGAACAATGGGGAAGCTCATGGACCTCCCAGACTGATAGCTGGGAAAACAGCATTGGACCGACTCAGACCCACTGAATGTGGGTCTCAGAAGGCTTGGGCAGTCTAAGGGACCTCTGACAATGAAACCAGGATGTATCCCTAGTGCACCAAAGGACTTTGGGAGCACATTCCCCATGGAGGGATACTCCCTTAATCTAGAGGCAGGAGGGAGGGCCTAGTCCCTACTCCAAATGACTTGACAGATTTTGATGTTCCCTCCTGGAAGACATCACCCTCCCTGTGGAGTGGGGGGTGGTGGTGGTGGGATAGGATGGGATGGGAGGGAGGGAGGGAGAGGGACCTGGGATCGATATGTAAAATAAGAAAAACATATATATATATATATATATATATATATATATATTCTAAAGAAAAAAGAAAGTATCAATTTAGCTTTCTGCATGAATAAAAAGAATAGCTTTTGAATTTTTCATAATACAACCATAAAAGTTTCCTTTGATGGTACTACAGATGTCATCACCCTGAAAAGTGTAACATCTGTGCATGAGCACAGACAATCCATATTTCTATCTGTATCTCATCTGTGCATGGGAATCAGGATGAATGCAGTGTAGGACAAAGAAGGCCAGGTTTGCTGTCTGCAACTAAAGTCAGTTATATGGGGGTGTTCTATTTATAAAATACTCCTTTATTGTTCAAGGAGCATCAGTAAGACTATTTCAAAGAAAATATAAGAAGAAGATGAAGATTCATTACATAGTTTAGTCTCTAGATGTCTCAGCCCCAAATCCTGTCCTCCCCATATTACAAAATAAACTTGTGTGATATTCAATCTCTACATCTAGGAACTCATCTCTGTGTATGCCCAGCTCTCTAAGAAATAATTCAAGCTCTCTCTCGTGGGTTTGTTTCCTTAGTCCCAGTCTTGACCTATTTTTTTTTTTAAATCGTTTATTCTTTGCTTATTGCTTCTCAGCAGCCATAAATGTGCTGGAGACAATGAATGAATAATATAATTAATCAACTGAATACATTACTCAACCTTGGAACTATTTGTGATGGCTGGTTATTGAAAGTTTTGTGTTATAGTCATGCTGCTAATAAGAACATCCTATGTTAACTGTCTCTGCTTCCTTAATACTCTTTTTGATTTTTAGTCACTATAGCCTACTTTCCTTCTAAACTAGTCCAGTGAAATACTTTGACAAATATTGCCAATTCAGGATTTTCAGGCCTCATTTATTTAACTTCCTAGCTAATAGTACATATTTATATCTGTGTCTGCTCTTATGGCTAGTGGTGGACAGAACACACAGTGTGAACTATGTGTGTTGTATGTTCAGAAGCAAGTGCAGTGCAGTCATGTGATACAATATAAACAAGCAGTACTCTGAGCACCTCAGATTCAGTATGCATTTGATTTTGAATTTACTTTTGGTCATTGTATATTCAAAAAAGCTTTGCTATTGCCAATGGGATTTTTTTTTTTTTTTTGCCATCACTCCACATTTAATTGACTTCACATAGGGTTACCATAGCAGTTTGAAAAGCTGTGATCTATGACACATTGTTTAAAGGTATGCATTATTTCTCTCAAAGTTTACTAAGGTTCCTTTTCCAGTCTCTACTTTTTTTTTTAAATGGACATTAGAGCAAAATGGTTTTATCGACAGCCAGGACAAGAATATCGGTCACCTGGTGAATCTGGACACCAAACAGGAGGGTGCTAGTGATCCTCAGCTGGATACCTGGAGAAGCACATGGGGACTGTTTGTTTGATGCTGCAGTCAGAACAAAAAGATAAGCACTTATCTGATGCTAGGTCATAGGGCTGCCATAGAGAAGTATGAGGTCCAATGGCTGAGGCAGCATTGTAAGAAGGAGTAGGGGGAAGAACTATCGGATGGTCCTAGAAACTATATGAAACCCAATTTTGTTTCATGACATTTATCATCTTAGAGCATCTGAAAATAGAGGGAGCAATTTACTTCTAATTTGTATTGTTTGTCAAACTCCTTAATCCATGTCCCTGCCTTCAATTGCTTCTTTGGATGCAATGATAACTATCTTCAATATTTCGAATGTTTTATACATCAACAAGACAGTTTGCTACACAGTTTATAGGTATTATTGTGATTAACATCATCTCTCTTTAATGTATTATGAAATTTGTTTATAACTGCATTTTTGGAGTAGTAATTAGACTGCCCAGAAGGTTTTCTACACAGCAGGTTTTCATTTTCTCCTTTCTCAAGTTTCCTTTTTTACTTTACAATTTGAAGCTTTCACAACTAAACAAAGAAGATATGAACAGTGTAAAACACACTGACTATCTAATCTTTGACCCTCACCAGCAAAAATCCTCCCCTGGCTTCTGCAAGAACATTCTCTTTACTTGTCTTTGAACTCATGAAGCTGATTTTCCCTCCTACCTTGGATATTTCCCCCACTCCATACCAAATTTACTCCTACACTTCAGATGAAACACCACCTCCCCCATCATGCCATACTTACTGCGTGTAGCCTACATGCATGTCCTTTCCTGAGCTCTTCT